TATTACAGTGTCGGGAGTACACTCTTTCGTGCAGAGTCGAGGGGCGAAAAAAAACGAGAATGGCGGACACGCCGAAACATTTTAATTCATCGATAACCGTCGAATGCAGGTGGTGGCTGATTTCCTTGTTCTGTCTTCGATAATGCTCATATGGTATTGCTTTTGTCCCATGGCATTGCAGGTACACCACACAACCAGTAACCACAGAAAGCAGAAGCAAAGGATACCATTGTGAACAGGAAGGCACGAGAATAGGATCAACATGAGAATCGGGCTATGGAGTCAAAACACAAGTTCCGCGACAACGTGCGAAATAAACAGGGTAATGCACCACACCAGAACATGGGGACATTTCAAATGACAAAAAGAACATAGCGTCTGCAGCCGAGAAGAGAGTGTATTGATAAAAAGAGAAGCATAACACAGCAGTAGATAGCTGACCCCACGGTAGGGTTGAGGCCCGCCGGTTACGCGGGTTATCCGGATACCCGGCCTACCCGGGTACCCGGTTATTTTCCGGAGGTGAGGCCCGAACCCGGTTCGGGTATTGTGAGAGACGGGCATGCCCGCCGGGTAGACGGGTACCCGTCCGACGGACCTCAACCCTACCCCACGGACAGCTATCTACTGCTGTGTTTGCTTGTGTTCGCGTTGTTTTTTCCCAGCAGACCCGTTCACGTCGTGTGGGTCGTGTTGTTACGAGGCGTACGTTTCATTCCGTGGCATGGTGTATGCTCGAGGGCAGCAGGAATACGCCGTTCCGGACATATTTATCACATATTTTTCGGAAGGCAAGGGCTATACGGTACGCCAACAGTGGACAACCAAGTGTGTGCCCCCTCGTTAACGCGAACGGGTCGTTTGTGGTTCCGAAACGAAGAGCTCAGAGCGGTGCGGAGGCGGCATAGCCACTTTTGAGTAGACGCTCGACCGCACTCCCCTCGGGCTGTGCAGCATCCGTTCGCAACGCGGAAGAGCTGAGGTGTTCGCTTGGGGGAGGCACTATTATATTCATCGTGTGAAGCCAACGAAGAAACAGGATGAAACCAGCAACAACCCACCAACAACAAACGAAACAACAGCGACTCAACAAACCAAACCTGTTGTCCCTTGTCACAATCGACGGTCGCTTTCAGATGCGAGACTTGCGATCCGTGGGAGCTAAGCTAAAGATCGTTCTCAACCCCAGGGGGGACCAAGACGGGGTGCTCACCAAGCTCAAGGACTGTGAGTGCCGTGCAGCCTGCCTTTGAACTCACAAGGCCTCTCTGATTGTTTTTCGGACTATCGTACCTACCCTCAGCCCGCAACACCCCACGTTCATGCCCGGATACGGCAGCATGGCCTCATAATTGTGCGGCAGCACGGCCCTTGGGATGTGTGTGCCGCTTGAGCCAGTCTTCCCCTCGCCGTGTCGCGAGAATGGCTGAGTCGCATGAGGTGGTGCGGTTGCTTGCAGGTTTGGCGCGTCGAGCTACTACTTTCTCTCCCGATCACAGACTCCTCCTTTGCATGTCTGCTCTTCTCTTGTGGTGTACCCTGATGTCGTGATTGCGTCGGAATGCCTTGCCCTGTACCCGAATATGTCGATAGAGCGAGCGTGCCCAACGAAGGAGGCACATCGTGCTATCATCAGGCATGTTTTGTTGTGTTCAAATGAACCCAGAGGGTCAATTCGATCGGCCGCTATTATAGATTTATGTTGTGTTGTCTCGTCAAGATTTGCTTCGACCCCTTTCGTTAGGAGTGGCCTCCATGGTAAAGATGCCAGGAACTGTACTACGTTCGGTGAGAATTTTTGCCGGCGGTCTCGACGGAGGGAAGGGCAAAAACATTGAGTAAGTATAAGTGATTGAGTGAATCCCCCCCCCCCTGCTGGATGATCGGCGAAAATCGGATACTCCCCGTGCCCTGTTGAACAGTGCGAGCATATGCATACTTACGGCGGCACGCCCAGGCGTGGTCTGGTGCACGATCCTGACTGCCACCACTCCCCCCCAAAAAACTGCGCTTTTTCGTCGCCAGGGGACTTATGGGGACCGCTGATGGTGTGCCTGACGCTGTCGATCGTTCTGAGCGTTTCGGCCCCAGCGGACCAGGGAGCGTTAGTGTTCGCGGCGGTTTTTGTCGTGGTATGGTGTGGGGCAGCCCTGGTGACACTCAACGCTCAGCTGCTGGGGGGAACAATGTGAGTTACACGAGGGATGGGACGAAAATGACAGAAACTGCAGGCAAAGAGGGACAGGGTAGGTGGAGGGAAAGACTGAAGCTAGAGAGAGAGGGGGGGGGAGGGAGAGGGAGAGAACGAGAAGGAAGATGGATGGAGCGATCAACTTGTTTTCGAGAGCAAGAGACGCAAAGAGAGAGAAGAACACCAAAGGAGCTTGAAAAACGAGATACAAGACACATAAAGAGAAAGGGCGGCAAACACATGCGGACTATATTGTTTTTGGTAGAGATAATTCAGTAGCGAAAAGCAGCCCAGCGCGATGTCCAGGAAAGTAGGTGCGGCGAACGCAAATACTCGGCGAACAACAACAGCTAGTCCAGAGGGCTATGTAGTCCTCAGCACACCTGGTTTGTGCAGTGTTCGCGGCTGTATCCGTGGCGGTTATACTAAGGACTGGGGCGGGCGGAGCCTTGAGTGGCACGTCGTACCGCGCAGTTCTTTTGGAGAGGGGGGGCACCGTGTGAGAGGAGATGCTCATAGTATCTGGGTACAACAACAACACCCTGTGTCCCCCCTCGGGTCTCGACTGTGTGGCCGTTTGCGCAAACGACCACGACAAGGTAGAGGCGGCCGGGCAAGTACAACACGAGTAATTGCGCAACCTCAACATACTACTGTTGGATTGTTTCACCGGTAGATTGTTTTGAGCCGGGGGGGGGGGGGGGGGGGCCCGTTGAGTGATGAAACAAGGAAAACGGCCGGGGGGTGGGAAAAA